AAAATGAGATAGAAATGTGAAATCTTCACCAAACAAAAGGAAAATTCTCCAAGTTTCCGTAGTTTTATGTGCAAGCATGTGCGCACACAGCTGATGACGCAGCACCGCGAAATTCATTGATCTATATAAAATGGCTTTAAAGAGAATAAGTTGCAGAGTTAAAATCATGTCTGATCTATCAGAGGCATTCTACACTGAAAGGAGGTTGAGATAGGGTGATGCTCTTGCATGCACGTTTTCAATATCGTCCTTGAAAAGGCTAATCGAGATGCCGGAACTAAAACCAAAGGCAGCATATTTTAGAGACCTATACAGTTACTAGCGTACACTGATGACATCGACGTTATAGGCAGAAGTAAACAGACTTTTACTTCACTTGAGTCTGCAGCCAGAGACATTGGACATACCATTAATGAGTGTAAAACAAAATTTATAGCAGTAACTAGTAGAGTACATAATCCCCTTCCACTGCAAATAAAGTCTTATTATTTCGAGAACGTTTCTCAGTTTACGTACCTCAGTACTGTCATCTCTAACAATAATAATATTAAACTTGAAATTGACAATTATTTAGTGCTAAATAGATGGTATCAGGATTTAAAGAATTTTTAGCGTCTAAATTATTAAACTCCAAGACAAAAATAAAGCTTTATAAAACTCTTATTAGCTTTATAATATTGTATGGTAGTGAATGCTGGCCATTAACAAAAATAAATGAAGAAAGAGTTCTACTTTTTGAAAGAAAAATACTGCGAAAAATGTTTGGCCAATTAGAGAAAATAATAATTGGAGAATTTTGTTTAACCATAAAATATACAGAAGATACAAAAAAAAAAAAAAAAAAAAAAAAAAAAACCCAATATTCTCCGAGTTACCAAATCTTATCGTATCAGGAGGCTTGGACATATTTTTAGATGTGACAACTTGAACCCTGTTAAAAATGTGACTTGGATATTGGAAGAAGCTTGTTGAGATGGCCTTGAAATGTAACAGACTGTAGTGCAACTGAAGAAGATTATTATTACTATTATAAGTTTTTATTTAGCTCACCTGGTAGTATTTGTCGCTATGGTTAAAAGTTTGCCATTCGATTTTTAAATTGCTTTCTGATAAGGTATCGAGTACTGCTTGTAGATGACAATATATGAAGTGACGCGATTTTTGGAAAATTCGAATTAGACTTTTTAAATTTAATGTTGAAATGATTTTTTATGCATACATTCGTTTAACGAGTAGTCTGAAAATGTCAGAATTTTATTGTTTTCACCATTGGATAAAACGAAAAAAAATCTTTCAAATGAAATTTGTAACTTAGTTTCTTTTACTATTTTTGGGAGAATTCTTGAAAACCGCTCAAATTTTTTGGACTTTTTGATACCTATTATTTTGAAATTTCGCATCTAAAACTGTATCCGTGGCAGAGTTTTAAAATTTTCGCAAATTATAAGAAAAAACATTTCGAGCTTTAAAAACTTGATAAAAAGACATTAATTGGACGAATTATTAAAAAAGTATGCAATGAAAAAGAAAATGGGATGTATCAGTTCTTTTTGAGAACTACTTGGAGACATCAGTTTCAAAGTTATAATATCATTACATCCTAATATATTCTTACGAAATGTCCAGGCGTGGCAAGATAGCTTCCACGCAAAGGAGGTTTAGGGTTGCCATAAAATGGGCATGGAAGGCATGGTTGCCACATATGGCCAGAAATCGCCCATTTTGCGACAAAACCGGCGATATGCCATGGACGGATGGAGAACCTTCTGGAACGAATTCTTACCGGTTTAGGCCAAAATGTTCTCGAACACAAGCCGAAAGCTATGTAAGCCTTGCTGGTCCGCAGTCAGTGAGAGTGTGCCTCATCTAGCGAGCTGATAGTCAGTCATTGAGCGAGTGTCTCGAAGTCTAGTGCCGAGTTGGTCGTCGAGTGCATCAAAAGAGTCTTTAGTGTATCACGAGTTCGTGCATCGTCGAGTTTTTTTCTTATATTGTGCTGAGTCGAGAGCTGTACTCTTGTGTATCGTCGAGTGAATTGCGAGTTGTAGCGTGGAGAGTCTCGAGAGTACTTGGAGCTCCAAGAACGACCGAGCAGAGCCGAGAGCTGTACTCTGGTGCTTTGCAGTGAAGCTGTCTCCACCGTTATTGCCTGACAGTGTGAAGGCTGTGTTGCTGATTGTTCCAGCGTGTTTATTGTAGTTCTTCGACGACTGTGTAAAAGTGTTTTGAAGCTGTCCTGATTAATGTTGTGTGTTTCGATACTTCATCAAGTGTTGACTTTATTCACTCCAAATCTACGAACCCCGTACGAACATGAAGGAAGAAAATAACGTAACAACTTTTGTCAGAAAAGAAAGACGTAACAATATTCTTGTTGCTTCTGAATAGATTTGTCTAAAACTAATTTTATTTATTTATTTATCAATCGTAGTCCCCTGCTACAAAAAATAAGCTTACTATAAAAGTCTTCTGCCATTTTATAAATGTCATTTCTGTCCCCCAATTTTTATGCATAGATTTTGCATTTTACAATTAATTTCATTTTATTAATACTCCTTAAATAAGTTTTACTACTTTTTAAAATTATTTCAAATGAAATCTACCGTGTCATTATTAAATGTTTTTCTTAAGTTTATATGCATTTTCTCAGCATTTCATTTTGAAGACTGATTTTGTTTATTTCACTGAAGTATGTAATATTTTATTCTTTTGTGAGATTTAAAACTCTAACGTCCAGAGATGTATCTATTATAAAGATTAGAAATTTTCAGAGGTTATAAAACAAACTTTTCACTCCCCTATCAAATCAATAATAATAAAAAGAAATATTAGTTAAGCAACTTTCCAGAGTTTATTTTAAAACTGGCGACATTTTTATAAGGTTTTGCTTAACTCGCTCACTGTCTTTATCACTATGGTAAAAACTTCGCCCCCCGCTTTTTTCTCTGTTTTCTTATAGGTTATGGAGCTCAAATTTTGCGTGCATTATTGTGGATGAGATTGAAGCGAATTTTTTAAAGTTCGTCTTAAATTTTAAAAAAAGTGAAACATTTGAAGCGATTTCTAGCACATATCTTCGTTTAAGGGGCAAATTTAAAATCTTTGAATGATACTGTTTGCATCATCAGACAGAACAAAAAAAAAAGAGGCTTTTTAAATGAAATTTTAAAATTATTGCTTTTCTAAAATTTTAAATTTAAATTGCTGGATCCCCCCCCAATCTTTTAACGTGTAACAGAATTGTTGGGGGTAAAGGAATTGAAGAGTTTTTCTTATATACAGAGGCGCAGCTAAACTTTTACATATCTCTTTATATACTTCTGTATCACGTTACAGTATCATCTAATTCTTTTTTTAACGCTATTACATCTCCAGACAGTTATGAATGACACAGTTTGCTAACACTCCAGTGAACGGTCAGCTTCATGTCAACCAGGTTGTTTGCTAGAATTAAGTGAATAGCGCAATGCAGTATGGCAAAGCTACCTATTTGCCCTGCTCCAGAGGAGTAGATGCATTCTTCTTCCAATTCGACGGACAATTAACGCCATGTGAATGAAATATGTTGGAAGAACCGGTTTTCACCATCTGTCGATTCTGCTCATGTGAACGGGCTTTTAAAGATAAATACAAAACCTTTTGAATTTGAATACACATTTAGGTCGTCATTTTACAAAATCCTGAAAGGTTAAAATGTTTAAAGATTGTGAAATAAAAAAGAATATATCCAATAATTTTATCCCAAGCCACACAGGTAATCACGAGAGCGGAAAGCATTTACATTGAAAGAGCATTTGAAATTTTTAATTTAATTTTAAATAAAAAAATGAATTCATTGATTTCAGTTCACGTGAAATATCAGAATATTAGAATATAAAGTACAAACAATTCTCAAGTTTATCATCTAAAAATAAGAACATATGCAAAATAAACGTGTAAAGAATATGCAATAATTTAAGCAATTATACATAGCTTCAAATCATAAGTTTCAAAGCAATATAGTACTCTTTCTTTTCAACATACTTTAAACTTATTATGTATTTATGTGGCAAAAATGGACTCGGAAATGTCACAAACGGATGAGAGTAAATCATGATGAAAAAAGGTGATTGAAATGTTTTGTGACATTGAGCTTGCCATTATTCCTCTACACAGAACAAATGCAAAAAATTTAGGCATACATATAGATGAACTAAATTTCTCTGATGAAGTTAACCTTACCACAGTATTATGTTTCTCTGCACTGGATGTCCACGACCGAGTTCTGTAAAATAATGAACCGCATCTTTCACTGCTTGACTGTTCCAATTAGTGTTCTCCTTAACCGCAGATTATTCGTAACAAAAAGTACGTTTTCAACAAAAGTTGCATTTCATGTGATTTTCTAAAAATAATGAATTATAAATTATCGCAAATATTCTTAAAAATCTAGACATCTAAGTATTCATTTGAGAAAATTTCTGCTACCACCTATTATCCATTGGATAGGTTAATGTCTTCTTTAATTGCCTGCATTCAACTGCTTCACAATTTATATATTTTTTCGTATATTACAGATATCAATACAAATCGGATTAATTCCTGTTATTTCTGATACTGAATACGATTACAAGTTATTGACAATAATTTACGGTTGCTTTGTAAACAAGCATATTTATAGATTTTATTAAAGGATCAGATTTATCAGTTTTATTAAAGTGATGGAACGATTGGGTAATGTCGAAAAGATAAACTGTTATAATTATACATTCAATTAATTTTTTCGGTTCTCAGAACTGTTAGGAAAAGGGGGTGCGATTATGTTGATCCAAAGGGCAGAAAGCATTTTGTTCACTTGCGTAATATAATATTGAAACCGAGATTTATTTAACTCATAATGAATGAAAATGTAACAATTTAATAATTTTATGCGGAAGAGCGATAATTTTGCGCAGAGAATCTTCAAAATTAACTTGCGGTTAACGGTCAAAATTAATTCGGTTTTCTTCAGTAACCGTAACTTCAAAAACAAGCATTTTGAGCGGCATCTGGAAAGTTCGGGAATCGTTTGCGGATAGAATTGTGCAGTTAGAATTGTTAATTGTTTTCGTTATTCTTTGCGAGTTAACAATGGGTGATGATGAGATGCTGAAAGCTAAACTGGCTGTACCAGGAGATGATACAGTATTCGGAAAAATTTTACGAGGTGAAATTCCAACTACTTTCATATATGAAGATGATAAATGCGTGGCTTTCAAAGATGTCAACCCTCAAGCACCTGTTCATATTTTGGTTATTCCTCGAAAGCCTATCATCCGATTGAGTGTTGCTGAAGAGGAAGATGCCCCTTTAATTGGCCATTTAATGCTTGTGGCGAAGAAAGTTGCAAAAGAGCAGGGTTTGGATAAAGGCTTCCGTGTTGTTGTGAATGACGGTCCCGATGGAGGACAATCAGTGTATCATCTTCACGTCCATGTTTTGGGTGGGCGTGCTCTTCGCTGGCCACCTGGTTAAAAAATTTGTTTATGGATATTTCCGAGCTTTCCCAAAAATATTTTGAGCACTTTTCCTGCAGCTCTAAATGTAACTGTATACCATATTGGATATTGGCATCAGAAGCTAAATAAAGAAGTGAAATTTCTTGAATTTATTCTGTGTTGTGTTTTATTGCAGTTTATTATGTGCCATCTGAGTAAGTCTTAATGGTAAATAAGTTTTTTTATCTGAAATATCTAAAGTACCTGGAAAGTCATGTAAAAGTAATAAATGATCTCATTTCATTTTGCAATATAAACATTAACCTTGTTAGTAAATACAGTAAAGTGATTCATTGTAGCCTTTTGTTCTTAGATGGTTTGAAATATAATTTAAGGACAAACTAGAAGTGTTTTAATAAAATTTTTGTTACACTGAAATTCAAGCCAGACGGGTCCTTTGCTGTAACTAAGGAGGAACAATTTAGCATTATATTTGTCTCTTTGAATTTATTAAGGGTATTATAGTCAGTCATATCTTTAACAAGTAACTATTTCTGTTAGCTTTCTTAGTAACTACTACAATTACAAGTTGCACCTTTATTATTCATTTAATTTGTTGCTTTTTCTGTACTTTAATGTTCAGGTAAGTGATATTGTGCAAAAAAAAGATGTATCAAATAAGAATTAAATTAAAAAAAACAAAATCAATAATGAATAATTTTGATTGTTTCTGAAATTGAGTTATATTGTATCAACTATTTGGTTCCTTTTTAAATTAGATGAAATGTGACTGTATAGTTCAGTTATGTAAGTACGTCTTTTTGTTTTGCCCTGGTGAAATGAAAAAAAATTATATTTAAACCCTTTGTAATTTTTTACATTAAGCCTAAATATCAGGAAGTTGTGTTAACTAGACTAGATTAAGTAAGTTGGTATGAAGCAATACAACTAACCTAATGTTAGGCATTAGAATTCATACTATAAAATGCATACTGACGAGATTATTTTGTAGTGTTTAGGTATGTCCATAAAATTTCCTGAGAAGTATAATTCAAAAATGTATTTGTCAACTAAAACAATTCTCAACCATACTGATATTCTTAATAACTTTAACACTTAACAGCAAGCATTTAATTAGAATTCTGTTTTCGTAATTTGTGCCATTTAACTTCTGATTCGTTAACTTCCCCAAAACAAAAGTTTATAAAATTATCTTACTTTAAGGATTTAATTATATATATAGCAGAATCAAAGTAAGAATTATTCCTATGTAACTTTTCTCCTTCCTATCCTAAATTGATTTAAAAAATTTAATGTTTACATTTTTTGCATGCAATTGATCATTTCCTCATTGAAAAGCATTTCAGTGAAACAAAAGTATTTTAAATAGGTGATGCGTATTATTTTGTGAGCTTAATAGCTGATGCATGGATTTTTATTAGCAAACTGTTGTAAATTCTTGAAATAATGATATCAAAGGAATTTATTAAGACCATGAAAATGGCTCTCACCTGATGATAACATTTATACATTTGCCTGCATATTAACAATTAATCTCTGCTTTGTGCTTTCAATTTATGAAATATGTATCAACAATATGGGGGGAAGTGCAGAATCGCCCACTGCTTCACACGTTTCTCAAAATCTCGAACTTGAAAATAGCAGATCAAAGAATTGCACAAACTCGATACCCATGTACACATTGACGTATTTTCACTTTAAAAAAAATCGTCAGAGAATTACATGAACGGCTAATCTTTGGAATATGGTAACAGGTAGTTTGGTGACATTTTGGTAAGGCGATAAAGGTTACTAGCTAAGACTTTAGCAGTGTACATGGATAAAGTCAAGAGTGTGCGCAATGCCATTTTTGTGCAATTCTGGTATGTTTTTTTAAGTGAAAATAGGTCATGGATACTGTGTATGTGCATGGACGTGTACATGGATACTGTGTATGTGCAATTCTTAAAAACGCGGCAAGCAGTTTGCGATTGTGCACTTTCTCCCAATTTCGCACCTAATCTTCGTCATGATTAAGCACTTTTGTTCTATAAAAGTTCTAGCATAAGCGTAATTCAGCTAGCAGATTGTTAGAAAAAATATTGAATAAAACATGCCTTTATTTCGTGAAAACAAAATGGCATCCAAACAAAAACTTTCAGGTTCAGGTGGAAATGCAGTGGGACACCCAATGTTTACTATAAGTAATGTAGGTATAGTTCCACTACACTTCGGTTTATTTTAAAAATTAATATTCAAAATAGTACATAGTATAATATAACAGTATAAATAGTATATCGATATTTTGATTGATATCATATCTATTAGATATAATTATAGAAGTTATAATAGGTATAATAATAGTAGACTAACAGTCATAATTTATAACAGTTCATAATAGTTCAATGAGATAAAGTTTATTATATGAATCTGTATCTTCTTCCTCTTCTTTTTCTTTTTTTTACTATATCATTATTATTGGAAAGGTTTGTTTTTAAGATAATTAGATAATGTTTTAGATGAATTGCAGCTTCAAAATGAGTTTTGACATTGATTACTTTAGTGCTCACATAAATTTTTGCCTATTGAAGATAGATATTTGATTGTATTTTCTATTTTATTTTTTAAATGTTTGTTGGTAATTGCAAAACGAAGGAAGGCATTGATATTTGAATTAGGCAATTTAATATGAGTTGACTTTGTTAAGGGACATTGAGTAATATAATGGATTGGATCACCTTTATTTCCACGTACACATTGCTCATCTGTTTACGATGTTGAATCTGAAGAAGTATGTGGGAAATGGGCCATGTCTAGTTAAAAAGCGGTTTATATAACCATTGACCATAGTACATGTATCATTTACATGAGGTGCTATTTGATGTAATTGTCTTCCTATATGTATTGTTGTCCATTCTTCTTTCCACATTTGGAGGCTGATTTTATGTAGATATTTCTGGAGGTATGATTTCGACCAGGAGATTTTTCTTGAAGGGATATTATTGTTGGTAGTAGCAGGTTGCTGTAGCAGGGTTGGTCACCAAATTTTCGCCAAGTTACCATAATCCGAAGATTAACCACATGAACTTAGCATTGCACACTCCCTTGACTTTGTCCATGCACACATTGATATGCGCCATATAAGTGGGCGATTCTGCATTAACTTGAAAATAACAAATTGTACAAACTCTGTATCCGTGTACACATCAACCTATTTTCATTTCAGAAAACATCAGAGAATTGCCTAAACTTGGCATTGCGCACATTCTTGACTTTGCCCATGTACACATCGATATGCGCCATATAAAGTGGCCGTTTCTACACTTACCCCAACAGGGATTCTGATTTAAAATTTTATCATAATTTGCAGCTGTAAATGAGTGGAATTGAGGATTTTTTTATAATTGAGGAAGCTTTTTTTTTTTGAAATAAATAATAGTTTTAATGCTGCATTATGTGTCAAAAATTTATTAGCAGTAATCGAAAGCTATTCAGAAGAATACAGTAAAAAGTTTGCCAAATCCTTATTGTGAAGCCTTCATACTCTTAAGTCATAGAAAGACTAATATTTCAGTTCAAGTACATTTGTTTAACAAATACCAGGGTGTTAACCAGGAAAAATATTGCAAATTTAATGGCTCTTTATTTTGAGAAAATATATGTTCAAGTATGCTAAGTTGGATCAGTAAAAACTGATCCATGTCAGCAAAAAGTGAGTCAATTAATTGTTGAAGACTCTGGTTAAGCTTTTCTCTGTAAAGCATTAAATATTTTAAAATTGCTAACATGTGTACTACTAACTAAAACGTAGAAAAATTTAACTTATTTCTGCTGAGATTAGAGCATATTTTTTTCCAAAGTAAATAATATTTGCACAGATTGTGAATCATTGAATTTTTATGGATGCTACAGCCGATATAAACACAGTGGCTCACAAAAATGATCGGACACTTTGAATTTTTGTATTCTTTAATGAGCATAAAAACTAAAATAAATTAAAGCAAAAAGAATGTTTTTTTTTTTAATTTGGTTATGTATAAATTCAACATTTTTTATAGTAAATACATTTTGGAAAAGATGAAAATTAAACTTAAATCAATATCATTTGCTTAATGAGGAAAAGTATTCTCACAAAAGTAATCGGACACTTTAAGTAACAGCCCTGAATGACAAAATCATTGTTTCTTAATATCTTGCAGGATTATCTTTACACCTGATCACTTTATTTAATCATTTAGGCATTGATTCCACAAGTTTTTAAAGTTATTTATGGACTTTATGCCACTTATCTTGAGTCCTGCTTTCAGTTGCTGCCGTCAAGATGTGCTCTTTTTCGAATTTTCGATTCTAGTTCTTGCCAGGTATGTTCAGTACTATTAAGATCTGGTGATTGGAGTGGTGCCTTAATTACTTCTGAACACTTATATAACAGCCAGGGTCTAACATTGTGCGCAGTGTGCTTTGGATCATTGTCCTGGTAGAATTTTAAATTATTTTGTATATCAAATTTGGGGCTGACGATGCCAAATTTCCCTTCAAGATGTCAAGTTACTTGTACTAATTCATAATACTATCTATAAACTTATATTACCAATGCTGAAATGGGCCATAGATCCCCATACCATAACTCAGCCTCCACCATGTTTAACATTTGGTACTACACTGCTGGCCATTAAAATTGCAACACCAGGAAGGAATGATCTGAAACGTCAAAATCGGATGAAAAAAAGAAGTTGGGATATGCAAATGATTAGTATTTCAGTGCATTTAGATGAAGCAGGAGGAAAAAACGATATCTGAAACGCTGCATAAAAGAAAAGTTGTGTATTGGATCTCTCATTCGGAAAGTGCTTTGTAAGGTTGGAGTTTGCTCAGAATATCAAATTATGCCTCGAACAAGAATAGGAAATGCTTACAAGCAAGTGTCGGAATTCGATAGAAGTAGGATGGTTGCCTGTCGAGAGTGTGGATTATTGTTCTATGATATCACCCATTGCACTGGTCAACATCCAGCCACTGTCAAGTGAATATGGAATCGATGGATTGCTGATGATCATACTAAATGGCATGCAGGATCTCAACGCCCTTCCATGACTAACGCCAGAGAGGACAGACATATTATGAGGTCAGCCTTGCAAAACCATATGACTACATCACGTACAATTAGTCAGGA